GTTAAGCAAAAACATTAAAAGAGCGGAGCGTGGTGGCTGCCTTTAACACCTGCACTCCAGAAGCAGAGGCAGGAGGATCTCCTTGAGTTCGAGGCCAGCCTGGTCTACAAAGCAAGTTTCAGGGCAGCTAGGGCTGTTACACAGAAGAACCCAGTCTCGAAAAACAAAACAAAAAACACCTTGGGGCAGTCACGTGCTCATTTGTCATTCATCAGGGACTTAACTAAGCTGGTGTTGAGCTCATTAGGTAGACATGAACCTTCTGATCTGCTTCATCTCCCCAGTGCTAGGATGACAAGCATGGACCACAATGCCCAACTTTAAGTCATCACTTCGCCAAACTCCCAGGCCTGCCATTTTATGCAAGTATCTTCTGGGGAAGTTTCTAAAAGCTCCAAGTTCAGGGATGTGGCAGACATGAGGACAAATAGCTCCAGTAGCAACAGTTGGGAAGTAGTTTTTCAGTTTCAGGAGGTACCATTTATTAATTGCTTCTTTTCAGTGTCTTGATGCTGGGGTTCTATTTAGGAAGTGATTCCCTGTGCCAATGTGTTCAAGTATATTTCCCACTTTCTCTTCTATAAGGTTCAGTGTGGCTGCCTTTATGTTGAGGTCTTGATCCATTTGGACATGAGCTTTGTGCATGGTGATAGATATGGGTCTATTTTCAGTTTTCTACATGTTGATATCCAGTTATGCCAACACCACTTGGTAAATATGCTTTCTTTTTTCCATTTGATATTTTTTGCTTCTTTATCAAAGATCCGGTGTTAAAGATGTGTGGATTGATGTCAGGGTCTTCTTTTTTTTTAACTGATATTTATTGAGCTCTACATTTTTCTCTGCTCCCCTCCCTGCCTCTCCCCTCCACCTTCAATCCTACCCCAAGGTTCCCATGCTCCAATTTACTCAAGAGATCTTGTCTTTTTCTACTTTCTACTTTCCATGTAGATTATATCTATGTAAGTCTCTCTTAGGGTCCTCGTTGTTGTCTAAGTTCTCTGGGATTGTAGTTTATAGGCTGGCTTTCTTTGCTTTATGTTTAAAAGCCACCTATGAATGAGTATATGTGATAATTGTCTTCATGTGTCTGGGTTACCTTACTCAAAATAATGTTTCCTAGCTCCATCCATTTGCCTGCAAAATTCAAGATGCCATTATTTTTTTCTGCTATGTAGTACTCCATTGTGTAAATGTACCACATTTTCTTATCCATTCTTCGATTGAGGGGCATTTAAGTTGTTTCCAGGTTCTGGCTATGACAAACAAAGCTGCTATGAACATGGTTGAGCACATGTCCTTGTGGCACAATTGAGCATCCTTTGGATGGGAAAATTCATACCTAATCCTTTTGTTTCTTTGTTTTTTTGTTTTTCGAGACAGGGTTTCTCTGTAGCTTTGGAGTCTGTCCTGGAACTAACTCTTGTAGACCAGGCTGGCCTTGAACTCACAGAGATCCGCCTGCCTCTGTCTCCCAAGTGCTGAGATTAAAGGTCTGCGCCACCGCCACCCAGCTTAATCCATTATTTTTTAACCATGGTCTAAATATTTATATCCACAGAAAAATATAGCTCTCACCTATTGGTTTTCTTCTCTGCTTCTATGATAAAATACTGACTAAAAATACCTTGGAGAAGAAATGGTTCATTTAATCTTATAATTCCCAGGTTATTGCTCAAGAAGTCAGAACAAGAACTCAAGACAGGAGCCTGGAGGCAGGAATTGAAGCAGAGGCCATGGAGGACCACTATTTATTGGCTTGTTCCCATGGCTTGCTTATTGCTTAGCTCAACCTGCCTTTTTTTCCCCCTTTCTTTCTTTTCTTTTCTTTTCTTTTCTTTTTTTTTTTGAGACAGAGTCTATTGACCCCTGGTTGTCTTGGAACTTGCTAACTAGACCCTAGACTAGGCAAATTCACAAAGATCTGCTTGTCTCCACTTCATGAGTGTTGTGATTAAAGGTATGCACCACTATGCCTAAACCCTGGCTTCTGCCCAGGACCACCTGCCGAAGGTGACACCATCCACTATGAGCATTAATACATTAATCAAGAAAATGTCCCACCAGCATGCTCACAGGCTAATCTAACGGAGGCAGTTTTTCAATTGAAGTGGCCTCTTGCCAAATGACTCTAATCTGTGTCAAGTTGTCAAATACTACCATGCACACCCCTTGCATGTCAAAAAGCAGTCAAAAAGGCTGCTTTTGTACAGCTCAAAGACCTACTGAGATCCTTAACTAGTCAAAATGCAGAGGCTAAGGGGCCACGTCAGTGCCCTGCAGCAACAGATGAACCTACGATGAAATCCCTACAATTGTGGAAGAGTGGCCAGAGTGTAAGAGTCGGACTAGCAGGATGCCTGTCGAGAGGTGGTATCTTCTAGACACGATAGGGAAGCTGCACCAGGGAAATCTCAGCAATATGGTTGCCTGAACAAGACCTGCATAAGGACAGCATGGATGGGAGGAATTTCACAAGGCCTTACCCCTAGATGAAGAGCTACAGACAATCAATGGCTACTGAAAGAGGGAGAATCTACCTCAAGGAAAGAGCCCCCGACAGGTTAGCCTATCCCAGGAGGCTGGTCCCGAACACCTAAACATGTGAGCAACACTAAGTGGGCTCAGCAGGAAATATATGAAGAGTTCATGAATCGGAGAGCAAGTGATAGGGAGATGAGAGGAGTGGGAGGGGGTGAGGGAGTAGGGGAATGGTGGGAATACATAAATACAATATTTGTGTATAAAATCTCAACAAATAAAAATTTTTAAAGAAGCTGGGACAGGTCCAGCCCAGGCCGGGGTGCAAGGCCACCAGAGGACACAGGGAAGGGGTCACTACATGAACAAGTGTGAGATGGAGAGAGGGGAGAGAGAGTAGAGGAGTGATTTGTGTACTATGAAAAGAGGCAGAACTGGGCATGTGTTGGTGGAGAGTGCCAGCCTAAGGCGAGCAGTCTGTGCCATGTCTCCACCTGAAGCTCTACCGAAGCAGGAGCCTGGTCTACGTAGTGTATCTCAGGACAGCCAGCACTACGTAGTGAGAGCTTGTCTCAAAACAAGCAAACAAAAAGATTTATTTATTTTATTTGTGTATTAATATAGGTATTATATGCAGATGAGAACAGGAGCAGCTGAAGGCCGGAAGAGGGTGATGGATCCCCTAGAACTGGAGTTACAGCACTTGTAAGCCACTTGATATGAGTTCCAGGAATCAAAGTCCAGTCCTCTGGAAGAGCAGCACATTCTCTTAACTGTTCTCCAGCCCCTTGAATAGACATTTCTCAAAAAGTTGCCCAGATGTCTCCTAAACGTGTGAAAAACCTGAATAATGTCCCTAGTTACCAGAGAATGCAACTCAAACTACCAAATACCACTGAGTGCACACACACAGAGACAGAGAGACAGACAGACAGATAGAGACAGACAGAGAGAGGAAAATGTAGAGAAGTAGGAATGCTTTGCAGAGCTGACGAGACTGAAAACTGGCTGCTGTGTAAGCCTCAAAGGCTCCTGAAAAAATGTAAGGGCCATGGAGCTGGCTCAGCGGGTAAAGCGCCTGGCACCGAAGCTGGCATACTGTTTTGATCCCCAGAGCCTACATGGAAGGAAAGAACTGACTCCGGCAAGTTGTCTTCTCACTGTACATGTGCTCCATGGCACACACTGCCCCACAATAAATAAATGAATGAAATGCAGGATTGAAAAGCAAACTTAAATACAGTGTTTCGGTAAACAACACTAATAAAACTTAATGGGACACACATAAACAACTGATTGGAAGGTGGGCTAGTTGGGAAGGGGAAGGGGGTCAGCAGGAGTGGGGGGAGAAAGAGAGGGTAACGGGGGTGAATATGATCAAAATACATATGACATATACGTAGATGTCATAATAAAACCCCGTTGTGATAACTTCACATCTGCTATTAAAAACACAAACAGTGGAGCTGGAGAGAGAGTAAGCATTGTAGCTTGGATGGAAAGGGATCCTGGCGGTCGAAAGCCAAGGAATACTAGGTGCTACAGCTCAGGTGGAAGAGCATTCTGGCAGCTGGGAGTACAGGTCACAGTGAACAGAGCTGTTTGCCGCTGTAGGGAAAGACTTCCCAGTGTAAAAGCTCTGCTCTGGCAGGAGAGGGCTTCCCTAGTGAAGCTGTCACAGTTTGGTTCTGGAGCTCCAGGGTATAGTAACGCCTGCCACTCCGGTAGGGAAGGTTTCCCCAATGAAAGTGTTACCGTCCTGCTCCACTCAGGATCTACTCGGGCTCCAGGGAAGAGCTGTTACTTCTCTCCTCCGCTCCATTCTGGTGAAAGAAGGTTTTCACCCAAACCTCATCCAAGAGATTTAGTCGGAAGAAGAATTCAGGCGAGTGGCTGCCTCTGCCAGGGTGGAAAAGGGGCAGCAGCAAACAGAACAGGGACAGGGTTTATAGAGGACTTCGTAGGGGTGGCGTTTTCCCAGGGAGAGGAGGAATAGGTTAGTTTTCCCCACTCAGGGATTTGTTAGTTTAGCTGGTCAGTGGCAGAGATGGCTCATTTCAGGGCCAAACTGTGTTTCTTTCACTGGCGTTTTTTAGCTTCTTGGCTTTAGTTTGGGGTCCGGAACATATTTCTTTCACTGGCTCTGATTCTAGGGCCAAAGTGTTTCTTAGGCACTCGTTTCAGGGTCAGGGTGTATTTCTTTGGTTCTGGGTTCGGGGCTAAAGCATTTCTTTCACTGACTCAGGTCTCAGAACCAGGATGTGCTTCATTCACGGGCTCTGATTACTGACATGGAACTCCAGTCTCGGTTTCCAACCCAGGGCTTCGTGGAAGATAGGCAAGCACTTCACCAACTGAGCCATAACCTCTGCCTTGGGGTTTATTTTTAATCGGCTTTAGAAAGCTTTTCAGTTTCTGTCCAGTAGGTGACGCTGGAGCTCGCCCAATACCAGACACGAGGCCCTGAGGTTCTTTTGCTACGCTTCCACCCGCCTCTCTACTTCCGCTTCCGAGAAGGACCGTCACTTCCGGAATCTCCGCGTGGACCGGCTGGGAAGGACTCCTTCAACATGGCTTCCGCAAAGCCGAGTCTAGCGCTGAACCCGCAGGAAGATGTGAAGTTTCAGAAGATTCTAACAGAAGCCAAACAGCTCGCGAAAAAGGTGAGCGGCCGGGCGTTCTGGCCCAGCGGAGGCGGCGGGGTTGGAGACTGCGGTTCAAGTCGGGAGACAGGCAGGTCGGGAGTCGGTGTGAGGTTTGGCTCTTTAGGCCCTCTGGACTCAGGTGGAGAGAAAGGGGTACCACGTGTGTAGGAGCATGGCACATCCAAATCGCAGGATATATTGAAGTTGCAACGTCTCCGCTTTACCCCCAAAGTGAGGGTTCATGGGCTCCCGCAGCCCTCGGAAGGTATGTATGTCCTCTTCCGTTGGAGAGCTTAGGAGGCGGAATTGACGTCCAGAAACCCACGCCTGGGAGGTGGACGCAGGAAGAGTGAAAGGCAGAAATAGCCTGGATTACATATTCGGATCAGGGTTTAGCGAAAAAAAAAATAGAGACTTTGCCGAGCGGTGGTGGCACACGCCTTTAATCCGAGCACCCTGGAGGCACAGACAGGCGGATCTTTTTTGAGTTCGAGGCCAGCCTGGTCTACATAGTTCCAGGACAGCTTGGGATACATAGAGAAACTCCGTCTCGAAAAAAAAAAAAAGAAGAAAGAAAATAGACATGTCAAGCAAGCTCTAGTTGTACGCAATAGCCCCTAACAAAAGTTAATATTCCCTTTGGTTTTTAGCATGAAATGCACTGGAAAAAATATTTTTTTGTGGGGGTGTTTCGGAGAGGGTTTTTCTTTTTTTTTTTTTTTTCCAAGACAGGGTTTCTCTATGGCTTTGGTGTCTATCCTGGATCTAGCTGTTGTAGACCAGGCCGGCCTCAAACTCACAGAGATCCACCTGCCTCTGCCTCCTGAGTGCTGGGATTAAAGGCTTGCACCACCACCGTCCAGCTGTTTTTATTTTAATGTCACTACCGGGTCTACTGTAGCCGGGACTAGTCTGAAATGTATTGTGCAGGTGAGTGTCCAGCCCATGTCCTGAATGCCGGGATACAGGCCTGGGTCACTCCCTGATAGAAAACAAGTAGGTTAGAGTGTGGTGACAGAGAAGTACAGTCTGCACTGTGAAGGTCACAACTGGAAATCACATAGTCGGGTTAGGTGTAAATAAGCTGTTGTCTGCGTTCAGAGTCGAAGTCTCGGGTTCCGAGTGACAATGACAGACCATTGCCTGCTTGTCCGTTGACTCAGTACAGCTAGCTCTCAAACACATGTCCTGAGGTGACAGACAGAAGACTCTCTGTGGGGAGGGTGAGTGTGCACATGTGTGTCTGTGCTGTGCCTCATGGGATGTGTGTCAGAAGACAACCCTTGGGAGTCTGTCTCTTGCACTGTGGCTCCCTGGGATTGAGCCATTCCTGCTGCCCCAGGAAAACCATTGGCAGCCCAACAGTTTTCCTTAAGAGAGACATCAAACACCTAGTTCTTTAATTAGTGCTGTGCTAGAGATGTGAATAGGTGACTGGACCAAGGGGAGTGATATATACCTGCAGTCCCAGTGCTGGGGCACACGGGCAGGCAGATCTCCACTTACCCCTAAAGCGACTTCAGAATTAATATCCCTCAAAGGGCATTGTGGTGGAGGCCTTTAATCCCAACATTCAGGAGTTAGAGGCCAGCCTGCTCTACATAGTGAATTTCATGCAGCCAATGTTCTATAGTGAGACCCTGTTCAGGAAGGTACTCACTCTCAGACACACACACACACACATTTTGGTACAGTATGAGTTTGTATTTTGTAAATGTTTATGTGTTGTTTTTGTTCTCAGCAAAAGAAGAAAGAAAAAAGTCTTAATCCTGGAGTGATCTTTGTGGGCCACCTGCCAGGAATATTTTCTGAATGTCACCTCTATGAGTACTTTACCCAGTTTGGCACTATTAGCAGATTCAGACTGTCCAGAAGTAAACGGGTAAGAGTACGTGTGTGAACTCAACTGTGTCTGTTTGGTTTTCAGTTGTTATCGCCCATTGCATTCATACACACAGCACTGTTACCTACAAAGTTCACACTCAAGAACTTTTCACAAGCCAGGCATGATGGTACGTGCCATTAGTCCTACCACTTAGAAAGCAGGGACCAGCATATCTCTGTTGACTGCAAAGCCATCCTCACTTGTATCATGAGTTCCAAGACAGCCAGGGATACATAAGGATATCCTGACTAGAAATAAACAAACATAAATAACTTCACAAGTTGCAGTGGAAAATAAACCTGGCATAGTGGTATTCCTTCAATTCCAACACATGAGAGGCAGAGGCAGGCAGGTCTCTGAGATTGAGGCCAGCCACAACTGTATAGTGGGGAATCCTGTCTCAAAAAGAAAGGGAGTGAAAAAGAATCGTGTGGCTGGGGAGAGGGCTCAGTCTATAACTCTCAATCTGCAGAAGCCAGGTGTGGTTATATACACTGTAATCCCAATGCTGGGAAGGTGAGGACAGTATCCCTGAGGCTTGCTGATGAGCCAGCCTAGCCCAAGTCCAGGTCACTGAGAGACTGTTTGGGGGCTAGGGAAATGGCATAATGGGTAAGAGGACGTTTGCTGTAAGCATGGGGTAGAACACACACATCAGGTTTCATAGCAGATGTGATGGGTTATTTTATTTTGTTGTCCTCGTTCCACTGAATGACAGTCTGAGTCTTATGTGTTACTTAACTCGGGTGTCAGCTCCAGGATCAAAGCATAGACATTTGAGCTCCAGACCCCACACTACAGTTAGGACTAATGTGGGTAAGGAGATTGATTTGTGTCGGGGGTTAGGAATTCAAAGGCCTGCATTTCAGAGACCATTATTGGTGTGTTCCTTTGCCTGGCTTGTAGGAATCCGTGTCGGTTTCTCTGCGCCTTGTGACACTGGAGAGTTGGTAGTATTCACCCTTGGCCTGTGAGATAGGTTATGCTGCCTGCATTTTCCTCTTTAGTACTAGGGCCGGAACCCAGGGCGTAAGAGGTAAGCACTAGGTTACATTCCTGTCTTATTTTTGAGACACGGTCTTAACTAAGTTGCCCAGACTGACCTGATTAGACTCACAAGAACCAACAGATTCTCCTGCCTCAACCTCCCGTATAACTAGGACTACAGGTGTGCCCAGACTGCTGCATTCCTAATGAAACAACATTCATTAGGACACAGGAGATTACCAGTGAAACAACGAATGAGTCCAGGGCTGTGGGAGCCCAAAGATGGACTTCTTACCACTTACTTATTCAATTGCTATTGGCTACATTGGCCAGAATACTCACATGTCGTACTGAGGGGAACTTTAAGGATACTAGAAAATCCGTTTGTTCCAAGTTGTGACTGTCTGGTTGTTTTCTGTTTGAATAACAGTTTAAGAGTGCGTGGAGTGGAGTTGAAGCGGCAGCTGTGACTGCTGTCTCCTGAGCACCCTCAGGGGTGTGGTAGCAGGTGATGCATTAGATTTAACTGTTCTTTCTGTGGGTTTTCATTTGCAGACTGGAAACAGCAGAGGGTATGGTTTTGTGGAGTTTGAGTCTGAGGATGTTGCCAAGATAGTTGCAGAAACAATGGACAACTACCTTTTTGGTGCAAGACTTTTGTCGTGTGAGTACTCTGACCTAGCTGAGGGCCACTTCTGCACAGATAGCGAAAAGCGGTTACGTGTGGGGCTTGTGCTCAGGAAGAAGAGTTTAATGGGGGACTGACAAGGACGTGGTGGGCTGGAGAGATGGCTCCGCTCTTCCAGAGGTCTTGAGATCAATTCCCAGCAACCACATGGTGGCTCACAACCATCTGTAGATCAGGTGCTCTCTTCTGCCTGCAGGTGTACATGTAGGCAGAACACTGTATACATAATAAATGAATCTTAAAAAAGAAAAGGACTTGGCTGAGGACATATGAGACATAAGACTGTCGGGTTAAAGCCTAGCATGGTGGTACATACCTTTAATCCCAGCACATGGGATATGGAGGCAGAAGCAGGCAGATTTGTTCTCAAAAAAAAGAAAAGGGGGGGAACTAGGCATGAGCCAGGTAAAGGGGTGCAAGTATAGACTGAGGTCATCTCTGACCACATGAATGGTAAATGCCGAACCAGAAGTGACTTATATTTATTTGTTGGGGAATGTAAGGGAACCAGAATAGGGGAAAAATAGGCTATAGGTCAGATTCTTGATATCCATAAAACTTAGAGTTTATTCTGAGGTCTGGGTACAGCCTTCATGGAGTCTAAACAGGATAATACCAAAAGTAAAGAATCCTGTTTCAAAGTCAGACTAAGTGACATTGGATGCAGCTACAGCACAGCTCCAGGTTCTGTAAGAGGATCTGAAGGAAACAAGGCAGAATGATGGAGCAGAAAACCACATGCTTTCCTCCCGCCCTGCACAGATGCACTCATCCAAACACAAATGCATTGGCTACGTTCAATTACAGCCACTCATTTCTGTGTCCATCCCAAGATACCTGTAGCATTGTTGTCCAGATCTCTGTCCTTGGAAGACAGGCCTACATTCCCGCATCTACGTACATCCATAGTAGAGTGTGCGATACCCTGGGACTAGTCCACAGGTCCACAGGGCTTCCTGGTAACATTGTTTTCCCAGTTCCTTTGCCATGAGAGACATTCTCTGTGGCTTGATGGGGGTCCCATGCTCAGTTGACTGGGCAGGAACTTGAGAGTATAGGGGCTGCGCTTTGTCTGCTTTGAGGAAAACATTAGAGAGGGCTACAGACTAGCCCTGGATTCTACAGACTATTGTCTGTTGAGGATAGAATGGGATCATCTGGGTCTGGGAGTTAGCTTGGCTGGTAGAATGCTGGCCCAGCATGCACAAGGCTCTAGATTGCATCCCTAGGGACTCACACACTGTATGTGATGACACATGCCTTTAATGCCTTATTTGCATTAAATGTGGACGGTCATTCTAGGCAACACGGGTTCAGAGCCAGCTAGACTACATGAGACCCTGCATTAAAAAAAAAAAGCAGAGAGTCGGCTTCACAGGTAAAGGCTTATACTGTAAAAGTATGGCAGTCCAAGTTCAATCACCCACATAAAGGTGGAAGGAGAGAGCCAACTTCACAGAGCTGTCCTCTGGTCTCCACATGCATCAAGGCATGTGAGCCCACACACGTGGATTTGCGTAGGTAGAAATAATTGTTTGAGTTTTAAAAAGTTATTTTTCTAAGATATAGGGCCCTAGGGAAAATATAAAATTAAAGTTAAAATCCTTTCTTCTTTTTTTTTGTTTGTTTGTTTTGTTCTTTATATATAGGTAAATTTTTGCCACCAGAAAAAGTCCATAAGGACCTTTTTAAAGAGTGGAATGTTCCCTTTCATCCACCATTATTTCCGGCAGTGAGTCGCTATAATCAGAAACGGGACCATTTGCAAATGTTGAAGATGGAATATCGGTTCAAGAAGAAGGAAAAATTACTCCGGAAGAAACTAGCTAAGAAGGGGATCGATTATAGTTTCCCATCGTTGGTAGGTTTCCTATCCTGAGGCTTTCTCGGTGGTTTCTCTCTTTGGGGTGGAGTTTCTACCTCACTAGTTCTGGCACAAGTCTATATGATGATACTCTATCCCAGTGCTTCTCACATGCTAAGGTTTGGGTTGATTGGCAGCCAGGCGAGACTCTGCCCAGGAGAGGCAGGTGGTCTGTTGCTGAGCACTTGTACAGTTTTGTGTGTTAAGGTTTTTACTGAAACTTTGAAACACCGGATTGTGGGTTCTTGTTAATGTTTATGGTACTGAGGATGGAATCCAGAGCACTGAGCATACACCATCCATTCCTCCACCCAAACCCTGTGTCCCCTTTGTCATAGTTCCTCCTGTGTTTGCTCCTGGGTAAATAGATGGGCTTCCAGCCCTACATAGGCACCTGCTGCTGTTGATGTTGCTAAGACTGGGTCTTTCGTTCCAAGCTGGCATCAAACATGTTATGCAGCCAAGGAGTCTTCTACCTCTGTGTCCTGAGCTGGGATCTAGGTTTATGCAATCCTGAAGGTATAACCTAGGGCTTTAGGTGTGCTGCGTTATGTGAGCTACGTCACCAGACCCCTGCCAGTTTTGTTCCCCCAATATAATTTTCCACCTGTGTGTCCCAATTGAATACCAGCTACCTCAGAGGCCAAAAGAAGGCGTTGGATCCCCTAAAACTATAGTTTACAGATAGTTGTGAACCATCATATGGGTGCTGGGCGTTGAACTTGGGTCCTCTGAAAGAGCAGCCAGTGCTCTTAATTGTTGAATCATCTCTCTAGTCACCAGCGTTTTATTAAACCAGGATATTCCTACATGATCTAGGCTCCCCACAAATTGGCGATCCTTCTGCCTCAGCCTTCCAAGTGCTGTGATTGTAAACATGGGATACTCACCTGGGTTATAGCAAAGCCTTTGCCCCTGGTTACATTTGAACCATTTGGCAGCTGGACATTGATGCTTAAAATAGTCATTCAGCTACAGCATATTCATATAGCTGATAAATATGCAAATTGTTTCTTTGCAGGTCTTACCTAATCCAAAGAAAGGGGCTTCACAGGGCACTGAGGAGTCCAAGGGTAACCAGGTGAGATTGGCTCGATAATGGCCACCAGTTACTATAGAAATACTTTCAAGAATGTTGGCAAAATGACTTGGGATGACGGCCCTTGGCCTACCTAGTTCAGTCCCGGGGTTTCACATCGTTTGAAGGAAAGAGCTGACTCTTAAAAGTTGTTCTCTGACCTCCATACCTACTCTGTGCACACACAGAGTAATTTAAAAAATTTTAAGGTTCATTACCTGAAAAAAGTTAATTTCTGCTACTTCATCTATTTTTTTTTTTGTTACATTTCAGTTGGGCATTGGTGGTGCACGCCTTTAATCCCAGCATTTGGGAGGCAGAGACAGGCGGATCTCTGAATTTGAGGCCAACCTGATCTACTACAAGAGCTAGTTCTAGGACAGGCTCCAAAGCTGCAGGGAAACCCTGTCTCAAAAAAAAAAAAAAAGAGTTGAGGGGGTTGTTAGGATTTTTTTGAGACCTAGTGATTTTAATGTAGCCCAAGTGAGCCCCCGACTTACTGTGTTGTGAAGATGAATGTCTCATCCTCCTGCCTGCCACATCCCTAGTGCTGGGACTCTAGGTCTCTGCCACTATTGCTGGTCCCTTGCGTTATGGATTGTTTTGTTTTTTGAGACAAGGTTTCTCAGTAGCTCTGGAGCCTGTCCTGGAACTTGCTCTGTAGACCAGGCTGGCCTCGAACTCACAGATCTTCCCACAGCAACTAGGAGATAAAAATGGGCTGAACATAGATCCCATGGTACAACTTAGAATTAGGATGGTGGTGGTGGGTGGTTGTTCCCGATAAAGCCAGGAAGGCAGTGGTGGTGGGTGGTCGTTCTAAGTGCCTGCTCTCAGCCCTGGACTGTAATAATATACCTGTTGATTTCAGGATCCCACACCAGTTTGTACACCAACATTTTTGGAGAGACGAAAATCACAAGTGACCGAAATCGATGACAGTAAAGATGATGAAATCATTTTCAAACAGCCCGTGCCCACAGTGAAAGAAGAGGCAGAAAAGACTCCAACACCTGCACGCTCTGGGACAAAAAGACCAAGGAAAAGGAAGAGCAGCCAGTGACCCTGAAAGCACGCTGTGTTGTCTCCAGGCAGATGTGGTTTTGTTATAAAGGCCTACATATGTTACTGGTGCAGCGACATGCAAGCCACTGACGAGATTATTGGAGGAAAAACACATGTTCATGCCAGTGAGGCACGCCATCATGAAGTTGGCTGTTGTGCCCTCTTCTGGCCTGAGTTTTATTCATGCTTCACAGCTGCCTTAGTTTCCTCTGCCTGTATCGCATTACAGACTTAAATACCACCAGTGCTGTGGACTTAAAACCCCAAAGAATATGGCAGGCTTCAACCTTAGACCCCAGAAACTGGACATTAAATACACATACAGAGAACGAGAAGGCAGATCGCGTGTGAATACACATTTGCACAAGTGCTGTAAGAATCTGGAATAACTTGTTTTCATACATAATTACGGTGAGCTAGTTTCGGTTTGACAGATCAGTTTCAGCAGGTGTAGTCAAGATTCAAACAGTGACCAAACTTTTCTACCATTTATCCGTGTACAAGAGAACCGAAAAGCTTTGTGTATTGGTGGGGAGGGGGTCCACCATCTGTTTGTTGCTGTGCTTTTGTATTGCTCATGCAGGTTTGTTAATATACCTGTCAATCACCATTGAGCGTTCTTTTCATCCATGTGTGGGGTGTGAGCATACATACTTGTGTGTGAGAGTATGCAAGCCTGAAGGGGAGATCCAGCCTTCTGTCACTGCCCTTACTCATCTCAGATAGGACTGTTTCTGTTTTATTTTTTGAGACAAGAGTTTCTCTGTGTAGCCCTGGCTGTCCTGGAACTCATTCTGTAAACCAACCTGGCTTCAAACTCTGCCCCAAGATCCTCCTGCCTGTACCTCCCAACTGCGGAGATTAAATGCATGTGTCATCACCCAGCTTGAGATAGGACTCGTGATGAACCTGGCTTAATGGACAGGCCATAACATCGCACCTGGATGGCCTGGCAGTGAGTTCAGAACCTAGGTGAACGCATTGTGAGTGTGAGAGCCTCTGCTATTCACCAGTAGACACTTGGCTACTTTTCTAATGTTTGTTTGAGCTAATGAATGGAATTTAGAATGTAGGCAGAATGTCATCATTTGTATGTGGTGTAAGCTGAACTCTCTTCAGTCACTTTACCTTATGTGTATATGTCTGGTGTTAGAGGAGGAAGGAGCTCATATCATCATGGCACGGTATGGAAGTCAGAGCAATCCTTTTGTCTCTTGCTGCCCAGTGGTGCATCACCAAGCCTGGTTCTTCAGGATCAAACTAAAGTGCTCACATTTGTGTGACAAGTTCTGTACTCTGGTCCTCCCAGACTCATTAACAAACCTGAATTCATCTCCAGGTATGTGCCACCTTACCTGGCATCTTCCCCACCACCCTATGAAGTGGTTTTTAGGTAATGTTAGGGTTGCTGTGAAGAGACACCATGATGACAGCAACTCTTGATAAAAGGAAAAATTGGGACGGCTTACAGTTTGAGGGGTTTAGTCCATTATGGTAGACATGGTGCTGGAGAGGTAGCTGAGAGTTCTGTACCTTTTGCAGGCAACAGGAAGTAAGCTAAGACATTTAGTGGTATCTAGAGCAAGTATGCATCCTCAAAGCTCACCTTTGCAGTGACACTCCCTTTGGGGGCCACTTTCTTCAAAACCACCACAAATGACTAACATTTGGCTCAAAGTAACATTGGTGTACTTTATGTGCTTGTGATGTCCTCTGGCCTCAGTACCTGGACATCTACATTTATTAAGATTATGTGTGGCATGCACCTTTAATCCCAGCACTTGGGAGGCAGAGGCAAGCAAATCTCTGGTCTAGAGAGCGAGTTCCAGAGAGTTACACAGAGAAACCCTGATTTAGGAGGGGGGAAGCTTGCGATTGTAATTTACAGTGTTTTCTACCATTTCATGTTTCTTTGTGTCAGACACTGTTGTGAGCACTTTAAGTATCTTAACTGCTTGTTTTTCCTTTCTGCATTGGCTGGGGGGAGGTGGGGGTGGTGTCCTTCCTAAGTCATGATTCCCTTGTTTCTGCTGTGCTCTGTACTCCAGGCTAGCTGGCCCACAGACTAACAGGTGATTCTCCTCTCTCTGCCCATTTCACTGAGTGCTGGAATTACAGATGCACGCTGCTGCATACAGCGTTCTAAGCGGTTTCTGGGGCTGAACTCAGCTCTTGAGACTTGTAACATAAGCGCTTCTCCCTGCTGAGCTATCTTTCCAGCCTCAAATCTTTTGTTTGTTTGTTTTGCTTTATTTTTTGAGACAGGGTTTCTCTGTGTAGTCCTGGCTATCTTGCAACTTACTCTGTAGAACAGACTGGCTTTCAACTTACAGAGAACTGCCTGCCTCTGCCTCCTGAGTGCTGGGATTAAAGATGTGTGCCACTACTGCCTGGGTCTAAATCTCTTTGAAGACAAGATTTCTTCCTGAACTCGGAGCTCACCATTTTAGCTAACCTGGCTGCCAGTGGGCCCCCAAGGACTACCCGTCTTGGCTCTTTGGCACTGGGGTTTCAAGCATGTACTGTCGCTCTTAGCTTTCCATGTGGGCGCTCCAGTTCTTTCTCAAGCTTGCAAAGCAAACGCTTTTCCCACTGAACCATCTTCCCAGGTCCCAGCTGGCTTAATGAAGCAGCTATTACTATTCTCGTCCCAAAGAGGAGGGAACTGAGGACTGAATGGTTGCGCGGCTAAACCAACTCAAGTCCTTGTTTCAGCGGGACAGGCGGGGCTCCTGTATTAGTCTTAGCAATGTAAAGGGAAGTCACAAAGCCTTGTGGATGAGATCTGGTGACTGAAGGTGGGACGGAAATGGGGTGGTGGGGCAGTTACTCCGTGGAGGCCAAGACTTCTTATTTAGATTCTGTGCTGGCTAGTTTTATGTCTACTTGACACAAACCGTTTCAGAGGAGAAAACGTCCATAAGACAGGGCTGTGAGCAGGCAAGCCTGTCAGGCATTCTTAGGGATTGATGGGGGAGTGCCCAGCCTATTGTGGGTGGTGCTATCCCTAGCCTGGCAGTCCTGGGTAAGAAAGCAGGCTGAGCAAACCAGTAAGCAACACCCTACCATGACCTCTACATCAGCACCTGCCTCCAGGTTCCAGCCTTGAGTTGCTGGCCTGACATCCTTCAAAGAATTGGGATTTGGAAATGTAAGTGAAATGAAGCCTTTCCTCCCTAAGTTGCTGTGGTCTTGGTGTTCCATCACAGCACTAGAAACCCTAACAAGACAGGCGCTCCAGATAACAGCAGCATACCACTAGGTGGCAGTCGAGCCTAAATACTAATCCTAAAATAAACTAGATCTGCCCTTTACAGATTTCCAGAAGTACTAGATTATTAGGGGATTTATACTGTTATTAACTTTAAAAAAAAAAAAGCAGCAAGAGCAGAGTCCCCTTTATCCCCTATTAGCCTCAAAGTTGCTGTATAGCTAAGGCTGTCCCTGCTTCCACCTCATGAGTGCTGGGGTTGCAGATGCGCTGGGGACTGAGCCGGTGAGCATGCCAGGCAAGCATTCCTCCAGCAGAGCTAGATTCCCAGGCCCAGCCTCCACTTAGAACTAAAAGTCCATGCAGGGAACTTGGTTGTGCTACCAAAGGCACTCTAAAGACAGCCTTGTTTTGTTTTGTTTCTTTTAGATGTGAGTGTGTGTGTGTGTGTGCGCGCGCAGGTGCCTGCAGAGGCCAGAAGAAGGTATTGGCTGGAATTACAGACACATGCTAGCCACCAACATTAATATCAGATTCAAATTTGGATTCTTTGGAAAAGCAACAAGTACTCTTAAGTGCTGAGCCATCTCTCCAGCTCCTAAACAGTCTTCCTTTCACAATGCATTTTCAACCCGATTGTATCTATTTATATGCATAAACACTCTGCCCAGAATTGTGTCACTTTTCTGCTTCACCCAGTAACCTCAGCATTTTAGAGTCTTCTTTTTTTTTCTTTCTGAAAAAAAGGCTGTCTTTGAACTCTCAATCCTGCCTCAACCTCTGCAATCCTACAATTACAAACCTGTGACATTACACCCAGTTAGAATTATAGCTCCATGTTGCATTTCTAGCCTTGTTCCTGTCAGAAACAATATTTTAAATTTTATTTGAAAAGTTAGAGTTTACCTTAAGCCAGGAATTATTGTCTTGTCCTCATCCCCCCTCCCCGGCCCCAAAGGATCTCACATGTAGCTCTGACTGTTCTGGAACTTGCAATATAGATCCAGCTGGCCTCAAACTCAGAGACACCACCCCCCACCTCCACCCCCACCCACACACACACGCCTCTGCCTCCCAAGTGCTGGGATTAAAGGCATGCAACACTACACCCATCTTGAGTGTTCCATTGTTTTCAGTAAAGAATACTTAAGGCTGGGGATGTAGCTCAACTACATGTGCTTATCTACCATGCCCCAAACCCTAGATTCTATCCCAAGCTCTACAGAAACTAGGTGTGATTGTATATGCCTATAATCCCAGCACTTGGCAGACAGAGGCAGGAGAATCAGAAGTCCAAGGTTAGCTACATAGTAAACCTGAGGCCAGCTTGAGATGCCTGAGACCCTGCCTCCCGGGGCTTGGTGGAGGGGTGCAGTTGTCAGGAGCAAAGGTAGGGGATCTCTGTGAGTTCGCAGCTAGCCTGATCAATGAAGCCAGCTTGGTCTACATGGAGAATTCCAGGCCAGTCAGGGCTACATAGTGAGACCCTGTCATAAAAACAGGTCTTATGGGGGCTAGAGAGATGGCTCAGTGGTTAAGAGCATTGCCTGCTGTTCCAAAGGTCCTGAGTTCAATTCCTAGTCAACCACATGGTGGCTCACAACCATCTGTAATAGGGTCTGGTGCCCTCGTCTGGCCTGAGGGCATACACACAGAAAGAATATTGTATACATAATAAATATTTAAAAAAAAACAAAAACAGGTCTTATGGGTCCTTGCAGAGGTCCTGGGTTCAATCCCAAACACCCACCTGGCGGACCATAGCCACCTGTCTTTCCAGTGTCAGGGTTCTCTCACCCTGTTCCGGTGCCCACTGGTACCAGCAAAATTCTCGTTTTACAGTTACGCTGCTCAGCAGGTGTCTGGATGCCTGCACTGTGTCTGCTGTGCTAACGGAAAAGCAGGACTCGGTGCCATCCGAGATTTTACTTCTCTGGCCAGATGGTGCCAATTTTAGAATCTCTAGTTATAAATAAAGCTGTCAGCTCTCTGATGCCCAGAAAAAGAGACTCAAGACATTTGATACTTGCCAACATGGTTTCTGTACAAGCGTCCCAGTATTAACCCTGCTGTCCTCCAACCATCACATTCACAGCTTCTCCTGCAGTCTGGAAGTCTGGGGGAGGTTTCGGGTTGGAGCTGGTGCTGCCGCGGGGAGGCAGAACTAAAAGAAACTCGTGTTCACCAGCCAGCAAGAGACTGCGATGTCGGGGCAGCACCACGGGGTCATCGGCAACTTGTTTTCTTCTGCAGGAGCATGACATTTCCCCTCTATTTCTGCTGGTAAATGGTAAGTGGTGTGGATGGTTGTCCATTTGTTTGTTTGCTTTTGAGACAAGGTCCCTTATAGCCCAGGCTTGCTTAAAACTTGAAGTCTAAACTTAAACTGACCTTAAACTCTTAATTCCTTTCCTTTGCCTCCCCTGCTGGGATCACACATGTTCACCATTATGCCTTTGGTTGCTTTTGTTTTGAAACAGGATTCCCCTATGTAACCGTGGCTTAGAACTCACTACTGTAAGTAAAGGATAACCACCAAGATGACTCAACTATTGAAATAATATTTATGTGTTTGTGGCAGAAGTTGGCGATCTGGATTTGATCCTCAGAATCCACAATGAGAGGAGAGAACCGATTCCCGAAATTGTCCTCTGTCCTCTGTATACTCACACATACACAGTGAAAAATAAAATGATTATTTTATATATTTGTATGTGTATGAATGTTTTGCTTAAATATATGTGAGCTCACTGTATTGCTGTGCCAGGGGAGGCCAGAAGAGGGCGCCAGATCCCCTTGAACTGGAGCTACAGGCAATGTGGGTGCTGAGAATTGAACCCAGGTACTAAGAGCAGCAGGTGCTTTCAACCACTGAGCCAACCCTCCTGCCCCTAAACTGAATGTTTTTTTAAAAGAAATGCAAACATACTCTACAGCACAAAGTGGTGGGTGTTGTGTGGAAAATAAAGCAGGAAACTAGGCAAGGCAGCTGGAGCTCTCACTCCGTAACAGGCGTGAAGAAACCTAAAACAGATCCCAGATACAGTGGCAGTACTAAATAACCCAAGAGAAATCAGTGAATTAAGCATGGTCCCCTGGTCAGACATAAATCTTACCACAGGAGCAACTCCTCCTGTTTTGTTTTTGAAGCAGGGTCTTACTGTACAGCCCTAATGGCTAGAAACTCACTATGCAGACCAGACCATCCTGGAACTCACAGAGGCCCAACTGCCTCTTCCTCCCAGGGGCCAAAGGTGTTTTGCAACCATGCTGGTTTTGTTTGTTTTTGTTGTCTTTGTTTTTGATTTGAGTCAGGGTTCTTGGGTAGTCCAGGCTGGCCTCCAGTACACTGTGAGACAAGGATAGCCTTAGACTTCTGGTTGGGACATGGAGGCTGTGTCAGGGGTTGCACACACGTGGAGGCCGAGGTCTGACCGAGTCAGGGTCTTCCTGAACCACCTTCCACGTGTGTGTGTGTGTGGTGTTGGAATGTAAGAATGTATAGTGTGTGCATCTGGAGGAAGATGTCCTCTGTCGTTCTCTCCTTTCTCACTTGAGACTGTGTCTTACTGAACTTGGAGTTCATGTGTTTCCAGCTCGGCCGGCAGTCACCAAGCGGCACGGTTTCTCCTGCCCCCACCTCCCCCTCGCTGGAGCTGGATGCAGTTGTACGGTACAGTCATGTTGCGGAGCTGGATGCAGTTGTACGGTACAGCCATGTGGCGGAGCTGGATGCAGTTGTACGGTACAGCCACGTGGCTGATTTGAGCTCAGGTCCTCGTGGTAGGCTTAGGCACACGTGGCAAGCACTTTTCTCACTGAACCCTCTCCCCAGCCACACGTTACAGGTTTCCCAACCTGCGACGGTTGCAGGCTGCAGAATGGGAAGTCTGACCCTAACACACAGTCCTGAAAGCGATACTGTGGTAACTGACTCAAGAGCAGTGGGCCCAGAAGCTGCAGGGGATTCTAGAACCTTCTGAAAGTCATCCTAGCCAACTCAGGGTGTGGAAACCTTGCAGCCTGTAAACAGAACTTCCAGAAGGAAAGCAAGCACTTTTTGAAGTGGGGTGGGGTAGGGTGGGGGTGGGGAGTGGGCACCTGTTTTGTCAAGGAAGCCCAGCATACCAGTGCAGCTAGGGGGAAGTTTTTCCTCTGACCTGCATAGTGAACATGTCTTGCATAGTTCAGCCTCTCTTGTTCTGGGAAAACATTCCACATAGCTGCCTGGTAGCAGGGGTGGTGTGGGGTGGGGTGGGGGGCAGCAACAAATCACTATGCAGGTACGCGTTAGTGAGGAATTCCCATCAAGCAGCAGGGACATCAGCCCTTAGGATCCACCTGGGTGCAGTGGGTACCGGACTGCAGTGAATTGTCCATTCGGTTGCCGCGGGTGTCAAGGTGTGCAGGCTTTCTTTGATGTTAAAAAAATCAGACATTTACTTGGCCAGTTCTTTTTTTTTAATATTTATTTATTCATTTATTTATTATGTATACAATATTCTGTCTGTGTGTATGTCTGCAGGCCAGAAGTGGGCACCAGACCTCATTACAGATGGTTGTGAGCCACCATGTGGTTGCCAGGAATTGAACTCAGGACCTTTGGAAGAGCAGGCAATGCTCTTAACTTCTGAGCCATCTCTCCAGCCCCTACTTGGTCAGTTCTTACAGGCAGACACCATGACCGCAGTGGCAATGCTCTTATTTTCTCTTCCGAAATCCTCGTGTTCAGATGGGCATGGTGCACACCTGTCGTGGCAGCAGTTGGGAAAGTGAAGCAGGAGGATTGCTGCCAGTCTGAGGCCAGCGTGGGCTGCATAGCAAGGCACTGTCTCAGCAAACCTGACAGGTACGGGGAGATGGCTTAGCCGGCAAAGCACTTGCTGTGCCCGCCCAAAGACCAGAGTTCAGGCCTCCAGAAGCACATAGACGCTGCGCAGATGTGCCCGTCTGCCTGTAACCCCAGCAGCAGGAGGCAGACGGAAGAGATCTCAGGAACAAAGTGTCTAGCAAGACTAGCTAGACAGGCGAGCTCTGGGTTCAAGTGAGAGACCCTGCCTCAACAGATGAGATGGAGGGTGGCTGATGAAAATACTTGATAAATGTGTGCACGCGTGCACACACACACAAGCCTACATATATGCAGATGTACATGTGCCTACATACATGCCCATGCAAAAATAAAGAATTAAATTGGGCTGAATATGTATCTCAGTTGGTAGAATGCTTGTCTGGCATGCATGAACCCCTGAATTGAATCCTCAGCATAAACGGGCTATGGCCAGCGATCCCAGCACTTGGAATGTGAGGAAGGTGGATCTGGAGTTCAAGGTTCAAGGCCTGGCTACCGTGTTATTTTGGGCTCTCTAGGGGAACAATAGAAGGAATATGTATCCCTAAGGGGGCTGTTAAGATTGGCTTATAGGAAATGAACTGGGTCATCTAGCGATGCCTCTCGTCACACTGGAAAACCTGAGAATCATTAGCTGCTCAGTAAACAAAGCTGAGTGCCTCAGCAGTCCCAGGCTGGTAAGGAAAGCTGGAGGATTCAGCCCACCCTGGAAGGATGAAGAAGCAGGTTTCTGATTCCTGGGAAAGAAAGCAGCGCTGCAGCGGTGGCGGCGCAGTAGATGAACTTGCCAGCTATAGGAGAGCAAGCAGGCAAACAGCGAAAAACCTCTCCCTTGGGCCCTCTGTTCTGTTCCTTTTTGTTTTTGTTTTTCTCTATGTAACAGCCTTGGTTATCCTGGAATTCACTCTGTAGAACAGATTGATCTCAAACTCAGAGATTCACCTGCCTCTGCCTCCTGAGTGCTGGGCCTAAGGCCTGTGCCACCCCACCTGGTCCTTGGATATCTTTAATCTGGGCTGCCACCAGATGGTGTCACCCATGTTTAGAGTGGATCTTCCCACTTCAAGTTCAGTCAAGAAAAATCTCCCAGAGGTGTGCTCAGTAATTTGTCTTTAGTTAATCCCAGGTCCAATCAAAACCAAGATTAATCATTACAGCTACATAGTGGATTCGAGGCCAGCCTGTCTCAAAAAAACAAAATGGGACTGGAGAGATGGTTCAGCAGTTAAGATCACTGGCTGCTCTTACAGAGGACAGGGATTCAATCCCCAGCACCCACACTGAAAACTAGGTGTTAGATAGCCCCTGGAAGATAGAGGAAGAGAGGGGCCCTGGCCAGGTGATAAAGGGGACAAACTTCTATGTAACAAGTCCCGCCAGCCAGCTCCCAAATAATGACATGGAGACTTCTTATGAATTATGAAAGTTCTGCCTTAACTTAGGGTACTTTCTAACTAGCTCCTATAATTTAACCCATTTCTAGCCGGGCGGTGGTGGCGCATGCCTTTAATTCCAGCACTTGGGGAGGCAGAGGCAGGCGGATCTCTGTGAGTTCGAGGTCAGCCTGGTCTACAAGAGCTAGTTCCAGGACAGGCAGCAAAGCTACACAGCGAAACCCTATCTTGAAAAACAAAACTAAATAAGTAAATAAATAAATAAATAAAATGACACACTTTAATTAATCTACATGCTGCCATGTGGCTCATGACTTTTACCTCTCCCCTGCATGTCCTGTTTCCTCTGTGTCTGGTTTGTGACCCCCCCCCATTCTTCTTCCCAGAGCTCTCTCTACTGTCAGGAAGTCACGCCTATACCTCCTGCCTACGTATTGGCCGTTCAGTTCTTTCTAACACCAATCGCAGCAATGTATCTTCGCACAGTGTACAAATATCCCACAACACTTCAAAGCTGGGGGCTTTTTCCTCACGCTCCTGATCAGAGACAAAAACCTGGTAATTTAAAACAAAAACCCTATAGACTTTTGTATCCCACCAGCAGGCCCAGGGATTGAGCCAGTCCACACAGCAGCTGTGGACCCATTGGCCACCATGTCTTTCTCCAAACTGGCCATGTCTAAATCGAGGGAGAAGACCTTCAGAGACCATAAAGCTCCAGAAGAGCCTGGATTGTTCGGCTCCCTGAGCTGTGTCATCATTCCCACATTGCCCCACCCCCACTCTCAGGGGGTCTTTTTCTGGGTGTCTGCTGTGTGTGTGTGCGTGTGTTTCCTCACCCCGTAAACACCTTTCTTAACTGCTGATCCTGGCTGCTGCTGTCTGCCTGCCAGGTTTGAGATCTTCCCTGCCTTCCAATTCTTTAGCTGTCAGAGAAAACTAACACAATCAAGACCCTAGACATCATGACGTCTCACCAGCATCTGTAACTCCGGTTCCAGGATAGCCAGTGCCTTCTTCTGACTTCTGCAGACACCAGGCACACACATGGCGCAGACATATATGCAGGGAAGACATTCATACACACACATGCTCATACACACACATTTTTAATGTTCAAAGCAAAACCGAAATAAGTAAAATAGAATTACTTTAATGCCATGTTTTCCATGAAATTGCTGCTGGGAATCTTGAGTCAAAAACTACAAACCACATTCAATGCCAGGCGGTGGTGGTGCACCCTTTTAGTCCCATCACTCGGGAGGCAAAGGCATGCAGACGGATCTCTCTGAGTTCCAGGCCCTCCTGGTCTATAGAGTGAGATCTGGGACAGCCAGAGTTACACAGAGAAACCCCGTCTCAAAACAACACCAACAAAAACCCCACAGGAAACAAGGAGTGACTTTTACATAACCAACACATATATGGCCCCATGAAAAATACACGTAATTATTGGGGTGT